TAGAGGCCATAGACAGGTCGATAGGGACCTACCCGCACAGGTGGGGAACCCTGAAGTTTAAGCTTCATTGGCGTCATAATGACAGGCTGCCCAGGGTCCTGACCCAGGACAGTGACCTTTACAAGGTACAAAATTTTAAGAGAATGATTTTAAGAGACTAGCCTTCTTGGCATGAATAGAAAAGGTGAGAGGCAGAACTGCAACTGGGGTCTCAACACACACACACACACACACACACACACACACACACACACACACACACGACCTGTAGTCTCCACAAAGGGAGCCTTGTGTCCTATGGGCAGGAAGATGGAAGTGCTGGGCCACTTCATCCCTGCAGCCACTCACACGCTGACACTTTCTACTAGTTGGTGCCCACACCTAGAGGCCCCATAAGCCCCTCAAACTCTGCATATTGACTACTGAACTTGTTCTCACCCTTCAATCATCTCTGCTCCAGTGGCCCGCACCTCTGAGTGTCACCAGCAATGCGTCACCCAGCCCAGACACACCTAGACTCAGAGGTGAGTCCCCTCCTGGCTTACCCCCCACATCTGATCAGTAATGGAGAGTCTGGCTCCCAGCAGTTCTTGAAGCCAACCAACCCCTTCTCTCCCTGTCCCTGCTCCCCTCTCATGGCTCCTCCTCAGAGGGGTTCAGCCTCCCCCCTACCAATCTATGCAATCCAAATGCGCACGTCACCAGACAACCTGTCAGTGGCTGCCTCACTCTGAAACCCAGGCCCCTTCCCTTGGTGCCCCAGGTTCTCTGTGATCTGACCTCTGACGTCCGTCCAACACCACAGCCTGTCCCTCTCCACCTGTTCCTCCACAAAGACCCTTCACCAACCTCCTGCCGTAGGTCACAATGCTGTCCCTCCCCATCGCCCCCGGGATGCAGGTGCAGCCTCGCCTTCTCTCCGAAGCATCGCCAGAACCCACACCTTCCCACCTGAGGACCCTTCTCTGCGGCCCCTTGCTCTGGGCAGGGCATCTCCGTGTTTACTCCTCTGTGAAATGGGACAACACCCACACCAAAGGACCCGAGAGTGACAGTGAACACCGAGTAAGTGGGCAGTGAGCTAACTTTGCACATTAAATGATCTAATCCTCAGGCACCCGGAGAGGCAGACACTGCTATTAGCCCCTGGCATCGAGGGGGACACTGAGGTGAAAGGCCCTGCCTGGCTCCCCTTCCCCAGGCAGGCCTCCCTGGCCCTTGGGCCGACCAGTGCAGCCTCCTTGGCCTCTGCAGCCCCACCACCCAGTGAATTTCAGGAGGGCAGAAATGGTGCCTGTCTTGCACACTTGTGTATCCCAAGCTCCTAGAACTGGGCTTGGCCCTCGGTAAGCACTTGGTAAATATTTGCTGACTGAAGTCATCCACGATGAACAAGCCCAGCCAGCGACAGAGCCTGGATCCCAGCTCCTGGCTTTCTCCCCACTGAGCAGGACCCTGCATGGAACAGGCTTCACCCGGGGCCTGGCACCCAGTGGGCGCGCAGTAGTGTGCAGCTGCTGCTGCTGTTACAAAGAGGAGAAAAATAATTTAAAATCAGGTGGCCCCTGGTAAGTCTGTCTTCCCGACAGCGAGAGCCCTCGCCCTGACTGACGCCCAGGTCCTCCCAGGGCCCAGCCAGGTCGGGCCCAGCGGGCAGGGGACAGCTCCGGAATAAACCCGGCCTGCAGGCACCCCGTCCCAACTGCCCCTCGGGGCAGAGAAGAGGTGCTGTTCCCACCTCTGTCCTCACCATCAGGGGTGTGATCGCCGCCTGCAGCCTCCAGGCGGGAAGAGTTCTGGCCCCGGCCCCCTCGCGCCAGCCGGGGCAGCTCCCCAACCAGGGGCAGCTACTGGCCCACTAGGCCCCCAACACACACACACACGCACACACGCACACACACACGCACACACACGCACACACACGCACA